CCCGCAGGGGCACAGCGGGGCGGCCGTGCGTCCCAGTTCCCGCTGCAGAGCCCCCCGCCCCCGCCCCAGCAGCAGGCCTTGCCATTCTGGCCTCGGGACTCGGCGTCGTGCTGGATGCGTCCTGTTTGTACCACTCGCAGGACCGCAGGTCTGGAGGCAGCCGCCCCGTAAAGATCAGAGCAGGCTAACCCGGGACGCTGACAGCCAGCTCGCTTGTAATTTATTGAGACGCCGAAGTTATTTCCCTCCCTGCTTTGGGAGGCGTGGGGCCCGCTGAGGCGGGTGTTCCCTCTCAGAGCGGCGGGAGCAGCCCAGAAGGGGGGCAACTGGCTGGAGGGCCATTGCCAGGGACCCCGACTCCCTGGTCTAAGGAAGCTGCTCCCACCCAGCGAGCCTCTTACACAGTTTTATACGTTTGTGCCTAGAAACGGAGAATGTGCCGGCTCGGGCTGGGGTCACGGAGCTGCGTGGCTGGGGCTTAGACAGCCCACATTCATTCTCGCAGCTCTGGAGGCTGGAAGCCCAGGATCCAGGGGCCGGCCGGGGGCGTTCAGGGGAGAGCTCGCTTCTGGGCATGCAGACGGCCGCCTCCTTGCTGTGTCCCCACATGGCCTTTCCTCCCTGCGTGTGCGTGGAGAAGGGAAGCTCCAGTGTCCCTTCCTATAGGGACACCCTTCTTATAGGGACACCAGTGCTATCACATCCAAAACCCACTTTTATACCTCCTTTAACCTTGATTACTTCCCAAAAACCCCATCTCCAAATACAGTCCCATTGGGGGTTAGGGCTCCAACATGAGTTTTGGGGACACAAACATTCAGTCCATAGTATAGAGTGTTTGGGGTGATGATATAAGATGGGGCATGTTCTCATGGGGCCACAGCAAAACCTGAGCATAGGAAACCCCCAAAAATTTTTTAATTGAGTATAGGAGACCTCCCCCCCAAATTTTTTTTTAATTTAAATATTAAGAAAAGGGGAAAGGGCACAAGGCCAGCTGCAGTGTACAGAGACCAGAGGACCCGGGCGAGACAGGTGAGCGAGGCACGGAAGGCCCCCGGTGGGTCCCAGCTCCCCTGCAGCCAGCCCTGTGACCTCGGGCTCGGAGTTAAGGCCGGGCGAGCGCTAGTTACCCCAGGACGTGGGATTTCGTTCTTGCAGGCAGCAGCCCTGACACGGCGTTTCCCTGGGACACCCTGTGCGTGTTCACACAAGGCGTCCGATCTGTCGCGCTCATTACCGGCCCTGCCTACAGCCCGGGGGTAACGGGGTGTGTGCAGACTTCATTTATTTTACTAAGTGTGTTAATCAGACAGCCCATCTCAGGAGATCAACGCCAAGCCCTATGCATCCCATGAGATTTTTTTTTTTTAATCTTGCCACTTGCATTTCTTTGCTCCAGAGCCTGGTGGGTTCTGTCCTTTATCCCGATGGTTCCGTGTGTGACAAGGACAATCAGGAAACCTAAATGGAAAAGCCTCACAGTGTCAGGGGTCTTAGATCAATTCCAGATCAGATCAGGAAGGGCGAGGATTCCACGTCTTTCCCACCCCCACCGTCACCCGAACATGTAGCTCATTCCTGCCCAGGGAGTCTCCGCCCCATCGCTGGCCGTCAGCGCCAGCTCAGCTCCCACCGAGGTGGCTTCTTCAGGACCCTGACCGGACCTGAACGCTGTGACCCAGTTTTTCTGTGTCCATCTCCCCCACCAGAATGGGGGCTGGGGTCTCAGGGCTGTGTGTGCCGATTTCACCTCTGAAAGCACGGTGCCCAGCACGGTGCCCGACACCTGGCCAACTCTCAGCAAGTGTTTGTTGAATGAATGAATGATGCACCTATGAGCTGAGAGCATCGGCCCCGGGTTCTGGGAAGAAACCTGGGGGCGTTGTACTTTCTCCAGCCCCTCACCGCTTTCTCTCTCCCAGCTCCTGTACGAAGAGTGGGCGAGCTATGGCGTCTTCTACAAGTACCAGCCCATCGACCTGGTCAGGTGAGAGGGAGCAGGCCGGGCTCCCCGGGCGGCTGGGGGAGGCAAGTCCCGAGCCAGATGCCCGTTGGGTAAATGTCCCCGTGTGTCCCAACTGCACCGGCTGCTCGGTACCTGGGAACCTGTTGGAACTTGAAGAGCTGTGTCGAGGGCCCACGGTCTCCTGGCAGGACCAGCAGCCTCAGTTTACGCGGTTCACGCGAACTCGCCGGAGGGCGGGCCCTTTCGTCACGCTCGCCGGGTCCTGAACGCGCAGCCTGGCCTCACTCAGCTTGGGGACTGGCCAGGTTCTTGCGTCGCTGTGTTGAGAGGCAGAGAAGAGCTGCCTCAAAGGGTGTCCTGTCCCAGAGGACCTCTGTCCCGAGGGCGGGAAGGCAGGTGGACCAGATGAAGCAGTGTGTGTCCCCTGGGGACCAGCGCTCAGCCCGTGAAAATTCGTTTAGACCCATCACGGTGTCAGAGACGCTTAATAAGGGGAGCAGTGGCCTCTCCTGGTGCCTCCAGGCCTGAGTAAGTTCCAGTTCTCGGCTGATCAGGACGTGGAAGGAAGCTGGCAGCCTCCCGGGGCCCTCCATCGAGCCCCCCAGCATATGCATCGCAGACCACCTTCCTGGGGCAGAGAAGAGAGGGGGCGGACATAGGAAAAGCAGAGAGCACCCCCAAACCTGGCAGCCTGGCTCCGAGCCCCGCTCACTCTCTACTTCTTGGTCCAGAGAACCTGTGGCCCCAATCTGTTCCCTGCAGGGGAGGGGACGGGACATGTCTGGTGCAGGATGAGATGCGCCTGTCTCTGTTTGGTTCTGCAGGAAGTACTTTGGGGAGAAGATCGGCCTATACTTCGCCTGGCTGGGCGTGTACACCCAGATGCTCATCCCTGCGTCCGTGGTCGGGGTCATCGTCTTCCTCTACGGATGCGCCACCGTCGATGACAACATCCCCAGGTAGGCGGGCCTGTCCCAGGACACAGCACACGCCTGCGCCCTGCGGCAGGCCTCCTGGGGACGCGGGCCCCAGCCCTCCCGACACACACTCCACCCCAGACGGGGCGTGCGGGCCACACGCCGTCAGGAGGAGGGTCCCAGCGCAAGGGGCTTCATCGCAGGCTGAAGACGAGGTGTCTTTTTCGGGCGTGGACACCCTGGGAGACATTTTAGTGGCGAGAGCAGACAGAAAACAGCCCTGGCTGGCGTGGCTCAGTGGTTAGAGTGTCGGACGGTGCAGCAGAGGGTCTTGGGTTCGATTTCCCGTCAAGGGCACCCCCCCGGGTTGCAGGTTCGATTCCAGGCCCCGGTTGGGGTGCGTTCGGGAGGCAGCCAATTGATGTGCCTCTCTGACGTCGACGTCTCTCTCTCTAAAAATCAATGGGGAAAATATCCTCAGGTGAGAATTAACAAAATAACCAAAAAAAAGCTCACAGAAAACAAACACCAGCTCCTGTTTCCCTCTGAAGTTTCCTTTCCCCTGTTCTCAGTAATTATGCGACAGGGAAATTCACTATCTCCTTGTGAGGTTAGGAAATGTGGGGGCCCACCGGCCGGGTCTCTCTCTGCCTCGACCCGGGGGCTCGGGAAGTGTGGCGGGAACCGCAGCCCAGGCCTCGGGCGCAGAGCCCACGCTCCTGCTGCGTGCCGCCCACCACGGGTTCGGGCGGGCGCGGGAGCCCAGGGACGGGGGCCGAGCCCCAGAGACAGCCCGGCCTGTGCGCGGTGGGGTGAGTCTCCCAGTGACGGCCAGAACACGAGTCACGTCGTACGAGCTCGGGGAACCCCGTCCCCCCGCGTGCATAGACGTCTCCCTTCCTTTCCAGTTGTCCCCTAGACCTGCCAACACTGACCCAGAGACACCGTGTTGTGTGTGAAGACTATAGGCCACTGTGCGTAGCGGGGGACCCTCGCTTACGAGGGCGGACGCCCGCTGGCCCTGCCTCCCGGGAGCCCCCGGTCTCTCTAGGACATCTGCTGGGCTCCGTTTCCTACGACACAGCCCCGCGGCTCTAAAGCCGAGTTGCGGCCTGGAAAGTGCCCCTCTGTCCGCTCGGGAGAGAGCGTGTGAGCCTTTACCTGGCGAGGAGACCGGCTTGTTGGGGCCCACAGCGCAGAGGCCATATCCAGTAAACCTCTGTGCAAATTATGTTTTCACACATGAGTAACACCCCAAATACTCCACCCGCCCAGCGTCCAGCATTGCAGGAATCTGGCTTATTTTGGGCACAGGCAGGAGAAAGCTTGTCCCTTTGTTTGCTAATGTGACGTGAGGTCACTATGCTTAGGAGTGACTGTGCCGAAGATGACAGTGGCCTTGATGTGGTGGGGATTTAACTCTCAAACCCCAAGGGACATGGCCAGTGGAAGGTAGGGAGCCCTTGTGGTCCCCCTGGGAGGCCGCTGGGGACTTCACCTCCCCCCCCGGGGACGCAGAGCCAGCTGAGGCTGTTCCCAGGCGGGCGTGCATTCCCCGGCAGGGCACTGCAATGTCCCGGCCAGGCCAGCGCCGCCAGGGTCAGAGAGGCAGGCGGCACTTTCCGGGGACTTCGGCCTCTGCCTACGACTCGGGGTGCTCCCCTGGGAGTCTGATCTGCCCCTCCACGCCCTCCAGAGAACGAGCCATCCCATTCCTTGTTTTGATTTTGGCTGAAGGGGGAGAAGGGGGAGGCAGAGGATTTAAAACTGGCAGAAAAAGGCTGTTCGTCTGGCTGGCATTGGTGCTGGCAGGGAGGACTGTGGCGGCCCCAGGGGCTCACGGCGGGCAGAGAGGCAAGGCCCGGCCCTCCCTGGGGCGTCCTGCCCCGCACACCCCGGTTCCTTCTGGGAGAGGCCCCCAGGAGACAGGAAGCCCCGGGAGGGGCAAGGGACGGACCCCCCAAGGCGGGTCCCGGGCCTCCTTTCAAAACCACTGCAGCCGCCTGGCGCCTGGTGTTCCCCGCCTGGCGCCTGGTTGCCCGGAGCCGGAGCGTGGCCTGCGCGTGCCAGCGCTATTCCAGGGCTCCTCCGCTCTGTGGGGCCTTCCTGACAACAGCGCAGGCACGTGGGCGCGCTTCCCTCTCCGCACCCCCATGCTGCAGATGGGTAAACTGAGGCCCAGGGAGTCTGAGTCCCCTGCCTGAGGGCACATAGGTCCCCGGTGGTGGAGCAGAGACCAATCCAGAGCTAGCTGGCTGCACCTGCCCCGCCTGCTGCAGGCACCCGCCCTCACATGCACGCATGCACGCACACGCACCGCTCGCCCCTTGGGCGCACACGCACACTCGCCTCGTGCACGCCCACCGCACAATTCCCCAGGCGCCCCGAGGCAGCAGGCTCGGCCACCGTCCGCCTTTGCCCCCTCGTGCCCCACACAGAGCTGGGCCCGCACTGCCCTGCGCAGCTCGTCAGTAAGCCCTCGGTGAGCAACCGAGAGGACGAAGCGGCCGGAATGCCGGCCGTGATGAGAAGAGGAGCCCCCGGAGCCACCCCGCAGACGTCAGACACCCAGGCTGCGGGCCTGCCATGATTCTGTGCATGAAATGCATCAGAAATTAGAAACAGAGCAAACCGCCCCCACCCCCGGCTGCTCCCGGACTAACCGTCTAAGCCCTGGGAGCGAGCACTCCTGCCTGGTCCCTGCGAGCCCCGCATCTTGTCCAAGTCCGTGGGGAGGAGGCCGGGCGGGCCAGGGCTGGCAGGGCCTTGTTCTGCCCCTCCCCTAATCTCCCAGAAGGTTAAAGACCTGGCCAGGGGCACGGCGCCCAGGTCTCCTAGTTTCAGCGGGGAGCCCTCCTGTGGCCTCTGAGCAGCAGATGAGCCGTGCAGGGCACAGGCTTTGTGGATACAGAGACCAGGGCTCAGATCCCCCTCCGCTGTGTGGCCCTGAGCAGGTGACTTTTCTTCTCTGGTCTAAACGCTCACCTGCCCTTCTCTGGCCACGTGGCAGGTCTGATGGGTCACACCCGGGCTGGCTACAGAAGCTGCAGGGCTGTTGTTCAAAAATCATTAAGGATTTATTTTTACTTTATTTTGTTAATGCTCACCGGAGGATATTTTTCCCCACTGATTTTTAGAGAGAGTGGAAGGGAGGGAGGAAGGGGGAGAAAGAGAGAGAGAGAGACATCGATGTGAGAGAGACACATCAGTTGGTTGCCTCCTGCACGCACCCTACCGGGGCCTGGGAAACGAACCTGCAACCCAGGTCCTCGTGCCCTTGACCGGAAATCGAACCCGAGACCCCTTGTGGTGTGCAGGCCGACGCTCTAACCACTTAGCCACACCGGCTGGGACAATCATTAAGAATTTTAAGGTCAGAACAGCCAAGCAAGAGCCCGGGGCACTTCTGAGCATGGGGCCCCATATGAGAGCACGTGTCGCATGCCCGGGGTGGCGAGGAGGGGCGTGCCACCGGCTGAAGCGGGCTGGGCTGCCTGCCCTGTGTCCGCCGCGGCAGGGACCAAGGCTCTCTGTGTCCCCCGGCTCGGGCCCGGCACGTTCCCCACCCCGGCCTGGCTCCCGGGAGGCGTCCGGCCCTCGTGGACTGGCGGGGTCCCCGCACAGCCCT